CAACAGCTCAACCTGGAGCTGGGCTGCCGTGAGTCGCTGGCAACGTAGGCTGCAGCCCCTGTGGCAATGGGTTGCCATGGGCTACCGTGTGTAGCCAGCAGCCAGCGTGAGCGGCCAGCAGCCGCAGTGAGCGGCCGTCCAGAAGCCGGCGACTGATGTGCCTCGCCTGGGAAGAACGCAATGATGGTGCCAACTTGGGCCAGTGAAGCAACGTCCTCCACAACTAGACTGAAGAACAAAACGACAGCAACTGTCTGTTCCCCCTCCCCCAATTCCCTAGCACTGTTCCCATCCCCCCAATTCCCCAATAAAAATCTTTAAAAAAAAATTAAGTAACACAATGGGATGCATAAATAATAGGCCTAGTACTATTAACCACGGAAGCTCAAGCAATTGAAAAAATAGAAGTAACACTTATTTATAATTTTGCTAATGTCAAACCACAGAAAAGAATATCTTCAGTTTATTTTTAAATTTTAAATAGGCTTGTAAAGACAAAGCATTTCCTTCACTTTATGCTTCGTCAAGTTTTTCTTTAAAGTTTTAAGGTTCCGTATTTGTTTACATAGGGTTTCAATTTATCAAATGGATACCACTTTATTAATAAAGTTATGTGGTATTTACATATGGAAAAATAAGCTCTTTTGTTGTCCATAAAGGAGTTTGGGTCCTGTTTTACAAAAATATTGGGACCTGGGTGTATTTTTCTAATTTTGAATACCATCCAAAATTTATTTTAGTTGAAGTAGGTAACTCTGCTCTAAGCTTCAGGAATTTTAAGTCATTTAAGGAAATATGAATAGTGGTAATGTAGAAAAATACTCAACTTCATAGTGATAATGTGGAAAAATAGTCTTAGCTTCAACTATTTTGAGTTGGCACATTTAATTTAAAAAAGAAAAGAGAAACTGGATCTTGAAGTTGCAAAATTGAGTTAGTATAATTCAAAACTCTATGATCTGGAGATTTTTAATAGGATTTTCATTTTGTGCTATTCTCTGTTATGATATAAAAATACCACAAAATGTGAAACTCTACATCTGCCCCAACCTTTCCTTCTTCAAAGTCAGTGATTGTATTACAGATCCCAACCTCTTTCACTCTTTGAGAAATGGGAGGGGGGAGGAAGGGAGGAGAGGAGAGTCCTAAACTTCTTTCCACTCTCAAATGCCCATCCGGATAACATCCTAACTCTTCTTTTTCACAGTCAGACTTTTCAGAGTTGTAAATACTTTCTCTACAGTCTCAATTAATGACCATCATGTTCACTTCTCAAGCCACTTTATTTGGCTTCCACAGCTATCATTTCAACAGCTCTTCCTATGGTTACGGCTGACTTCCAATTGGTTACAACTGACACGAATTCCAATAAACACATTTTAAACTTGACCCTTGTTGTCTCAGGAGCACTAGACATTCATCTTTCAAGCAACTCAATATGCTCTGCTTATGTTCCACAACACTGGGGCTCCTGCTTTCTCTCAGACTTCTCTGCTTGCTTTTCTTCCTTTTCTGGAGGAGCAACGCATTTAGACACATTCACAGGTTTCCATGATTCACTAGTTGTGTCAGCCAAAGGAACTGGAGAGACCAGAACAATGCGTGTGGCACACAGGTGACAAGAAGGAAAGAAGAAAGGACCTTGGAATTCTCAGTCTGGAGAGACGGGGCTTAGGGCAAGTTGCTTTACTTTTTTGGATTTCATTTCCTTATCTATAAGACAGAACAAGGTCTAGATCATTCATATGGATCCTTCCAATGGTGGCATTTATCTATTGTATTGTATCTCTTTGCTTATCTATCTGTCCTCTCCACCAGACTGTGAACTGTCCCAGAGAAAGTCTTACCCTTGATCCTTCTTTTTTTCCCTGGCATTGCCCAGTACTGGCTGGTGTACAAGAGGCAGCAGTGAGGGTAAAGACTGGCCCTATGACTCCTTCCTGACCATTTCCATTCTCTTACCTCCAGGCTGTTGAGGAAGAAAATGATGGAACCATGTGCCCTTGGCCCTCTACATGTAAATTTCACTGGCTTCTCAATATTTCAACTTGCTTGCCCATACCCTCAGTGTTAACTGTAGCAGTTGTTCCAAATCCCCACTCTGCTCAGGCACTCACACCTCCCAGCCCCTGTCAGGGCAAAACATGCCTCAGAATCCTCAAAGAAAATTGGGGTTACCTGACTGGCATCAGAGACTAAACTACCCATTTCCTTCTCTTATGCTGCCTCTTATGCTTCTAACATGTTGCTCTTCCCAGTTAAACCTCTCCAAAGCTACAATTGCTGTGTTAATTAACAGCAGAACTAGATGATCACTACCCAGCCTCTCTGTCCCATGGCACCCCACTCTCCCTGTTCAGGCCACCATCATATCTTATCTAAATATTGCAAAAGCATGAGAACTGCTCTCCTAGTTCCAGTCTCACATCCCTTATAGATAAATGTTCCCATAAATGTTAAGGATTCAAATGTTGATCCTACTTCTTACTCTTTCATGTCCTGTCTGATGTCCTAGCTTACCCTCTGATGGGCAAATTATCTAATGTTTCTGTGTCTCAGTTTCCATATATGTAAAACAAGGATAATGATAATATCTACTTCAAATATTTATTATAAGGATGAAAGCAGTTACTATATGCAAATCACTTTTAAATAGTATTTGACCCTTTATCTGCCATTGTTATCTTCCAAATAGCTGTCAGAGTGATTTACCATCTAATCATGCCACTTTCTTCAGTGGATTCCCATGACATTAAGAAAAGGCTAAACTCCTTACCTAGCCTACCATTATCTATGTTGCAGAGGCTTTCCCAGTGTCCCCTATCCCCTGTACTGCAGCCAAGGAAATTCATTTCAGTGGACGTTTGCACAGGAGTGCCGAGAGAAGGAAGGAATCGTGGCTCTGCTTTTGGATTTTTGAGCTGTAATAAGTATTAAAAGCTAGACTTCGGCCAGAGTAAATAATTTTCTAAATTTCTGTATCTCCGATTAGCATGTCCTGTTGGAGTAGGTTGTAGATCTTTACTCTCAATCAGGGGTAGAGGGAACACAGGCAATACCATAAGGAAAGTTTCTACTACATGAAATGGAGCTTGTGGAAAAGTCCTCCTCTTTCAGCTTGATGGACTCGGGCAAGAATTGGCAGAGGTCGGAAAGTCAGTGGTCAGGAGAGTATCTGCTTTTTACCCTCTAGGCTAAAATCCTAGGAGTGGGGATTTGGATAGATTGAGGGAAAAGCTGAGAGAACAGGGGATTTTGCCTTGCTTCCATCTGAGGAGGAACCTGAGTGACAATGGCAGTGAAGCAGTGAGAAGGCCTGAGCTAGCACCCCTGAGTCTCTCTTAGGCTCCTGGGCATAGTGCAAAAAGTCCCAAAGTTCCCTTGTTTTCCAAGGAAGGACAATGGAATGCAGTGATGGACTGACCAGGTCTCAGAGAGATGAACACCTCCAGCAAGAGCCTGGGTGAGACTGGGTCAGCTAAAGTGTCCCCAGGCCCTCCCCCTTGCTGAGAGAACTAACTAGAAGTTCACCAACCACATCCTACTATTTGTCATTCAGCACAAAAGACCCAGGGAATCAGACCAAAGTAGATCTCACAAAGCTGAGACTAGCCAGCATGTCTGAGGTCTTCAGCTGGATCACCGCGATGCAGTTGGATGAGGGCCATCACGCGCCCATCACAATTTGGGGAAGGAGCAGGGCACAGAGGAAGAATCTGAAAAACCAAAGTGCCATGAGTTTCCCAGAAGAAACTGTGTAAACCAGAAGATTCTGAGACACTGTCAAATGACAACTTCTAGGTGAGGGATAGAGGTAGGTAGGAGGTGGGAAGGTCTGGGGGAGAGGGAGCTGAAACAATGTGTGGCACAAAATGGAATATTCGAGGGGCCCGAGCTTGGTCCAGATGAAGTCATCACAGTCACCAGAGTCTGTCTTAACCTTTTATTTGCCAAATAAAATCTGGCACCAGAGACTGGGGTGGGGTCTTGAAGAGTGAGGGGGGGCTGTGACAGGGAGGGGAATAGGAAGTTGTCACAGAGACTGGGCTTATTGTTCAGGGCTGTAAACCCAACACCTAACACATGCCTATCTTAGCATTAATGGATGAATGAATACACAAATTGTAGATAATGTCTATAAAACAGGTTGGAAGTCGGGGACAGCAACTTGAGAAGTCAGGTCTCTTGAATCCTACTTCACCACCTGATAGGTAATAAAAACAACAACAACTCATTACGTTCTAATGATTTTACTGCATTTTCTATTATCTATGCTGTTGACATTATTGATGTCTCTTGTGTCCAGGGCTGGCTTCATGGGCACGGGACCCGACCAGTCACACAGGCCCTTGCACTCAGAAAGGCATGTGTTTGGTTTAATGCTCTGCTGTCATCATCTTGAAATCGTTAATACATTTTAAACAAGGGCCCCACATTTTCATTTTGCACTGGGATCCACAAATTATGTGGCGGGCCCTGATTGTACCTGTATGGTAGAACTACTATACAATGGTATACTGCTTAGTATCTCTTCCTAATTCAGGACTTAGGGTCCCCTGTTGGTAGCTGTAAATAGGACACGGTGGACATCGGCAAACACTAGAAATCAGAGTGATCACCAGTTGTAAAAACCTTTACCAACACACCACTATATAAATATAATGATCATACACTCCCACCACCAGCCCACAGACCCCTGTGGGTTTTTATAGAATTTCAGAGCAGGGAAAGAAGGTCTTTTTGCATAGCAGTCTACCATTAATTTGTGGCAATGAAGAAAAACAATGACCTCAACCTTGGCAGAATCTCAAAACCTAATTCATACGTCCGTGACTGAAAGCTGTCAGCTTGAAATGTGACACTCCAGGAGGGTATAAGAAGTCCTCCTGAATGAAGGTTTGCATCAATCGGTAAAGGCTTAGAAATCCGGAGGGAGCTCGCGCCTGCCTCCTCTGGCCAAGCCTGAGCGGCCGTTCCCACCGCTCGTCCTCCTTCCCAGAGAAGCAGGAAGCTTCCTGGAGGGCACAGATAACGCAGTGGGCTGCGCGGGTTTTCAGAAAGCTCACCCTCTCCCGGGCCCCGGGAAATTGCCGGCAATCCTCAGCGCAGAGCGATGGAGTCCTCCTGGCTGGAGATGCGCTGGGTGCGGCCCTTTTACCTGGCGTTTGTGTTCTGCCTGGCCCTGGGGCTGCTACAGGCCATCAAGCTCTACCTGAGGAGGCAGCGGCTGCTGAGAGACCTGCGCGCCTTCCCCGGGCTCGCCGCGCAACGGTTCGGCGGGCTAGACAAGGTAGATGGAAGAGAGGGGCGAAGGAGGATGCTGGAAACCCGGCGGGCAGAGAGGCGGCTGTTTCCTTCCTTTCCTCCCATCCCTCCGTCTTACACAGACCTCTCTGGCCCAGCTCGTGGCTCTCCGCATCTTTTCATTATCTAGACTTGCTTCCCCACAGCCCTACAGGGAAAGGTAAACCCCCTGGAGCCGCTGGAGAGGAAGCTTTGGGGATTGGGAGGGGGCTATTTCCAGAGACCGAATCTGGAAAAAGAAAGCTTGATGTAACATCAGGTCTGTGTCTTTCTGCTTACCAATGTTTTGCATTTATGTACTGCATTTTAAAAAGCCTTCCGCATGGATTGCTTAAAAACAAACAAACAAAACCACAACAGAATAAGAATAACAAGGAGGAGGAGAAGAAATAAGTACTATCCTAAATAATACTTACTTATATTAATTGAACACGTGAAAAATTGAACACAATAGTTGCCAACGTTAGTCCATTCCAACCGGAGAAAATTAACTTTCTTTTCCTAAGATTCTTGTGAAGTAAGGAGCAGCCTCAGTCAATCACTCAAAAAATACGGACTGACTGAAATTTGTAAGGTAGAGGAAGATTGTTACCTTTGGGTCTCTCCAGTTCTCTAAATCCACTCCCACTCCTGATTCCTTGTGTTATTAAAAACATAAACTAATAATCCTTTTAAATGCATTATTCTTTAAAATCATGTAGAAAAGAAAAAATGAGTTACAAACCATTGTTACAATAATACTACTTTTTATAATTGCCCATGTATTTACCTTTATTGAGATCTTTATTTCTTCATATGGCTTTGAGTTGCTGTCCAGTGCCCTTTCATTTCACTGTGTAGAACTCATTTGAGCATTTCTTGCAGGGCAGTCTAGTGGTAATAAGCTCCCTCAGCTTTTGTCTACCTGGGAAAGTCTTAATTTCTCCCTCAATTTTGAAGGACAGTTTTGTTGAATATAGGATTCCTGGTTGACAGTTGTGGTTGGTGTTGACAGTTGTGGACAATGTTGGATGGTGTGTGTGTGTGTGTGTGTGTGTGTGTGTGTGTGTGTGTGTGTGTGTGTTTAGCACTTAGAATATATAGCACTTGTCTTCTGTCTTCCAAAGTCTCTGATGAGACATCCACTGGTAATCTTATTTAGGATTCCTTGTATATAAAGAGTCACTTTTCTCTTGCTCCTTTTAAGGTTCACTTTTTGTCTTTGTCTTTGAAAAGTTTGATTATAATGTGTCTTAGTGTGGGTCTCTCTGAGTTCATCGTACTTAGAATTCACAGAGTTTCTTAGATGTTTATATTCATGACTTTCATCAAATTTGGGAAGTTTTCAGCCATTATTTCTTCATATATTCTCTCAACCTCTTTCTCTCTTCCCCTTCTGGGATTGTGTGTTGGTCTGCTTGATGGTGTCTCATAGGTCCCTTAGCTTCGTTCACTTTTCTTCAATCATTTTCTTTCTGTTTCTCAGACTCAGTATTTTCAATTTTTCTATATTCAAGTTCATGATTGTTTCTTGTCTATGATCATTTCTGCTTTTGAAACCCTCTATTGAGTTTTTCATCGCAATTATTGTACTTTTAATCTTCAGCATTTCTTTTTAGTTTATTTTTAGGTTTTTTATCTCTTTATTGATATTTCTGCTTTGTACATTCTATTCATACATCATTTAAAATTTTTTTTCTCAACATCTTCCTTCAGTTCTTTAAACATCTATAAGACAGTTTTTTTTTGTTTGTTTTTTAAAGATTTTTATTGGGGAATTGGGGGATGGGAACAGTGCTGGGGAATTGGGGGAAGGGGAACAGACAAGTTGCTGTCTTTTTTGTTCTTCAGTCTAGTTGTGGAGGACGTTGCTTCACTAGCCCAAGTTGGCACCATCCTTGCGCTCTTCCTGGCGAGGCAGATCAGTCGATGGCTTCTGCACGGCCACTCACGGTGGCTTGAGCGCTGCTCACGCTGGCTGCTGGCTACACATGATAGCCCATGGCAACTCACTGCACCAGGGGCTGCAGCCTACCCTGTCGCCGGCGACTCAAGGCAACCCAGCTCCAGGTCGAGCTGTTGTTCAGCATCTTAGCTGTAGAGGGCAGCGTCACTGGCCCTCATATGTGGGATCCTAACTGGGGTCCTCTGGCATCCCAAGCCAGTTCTTAACCAACGCGTCACTCAGCCGGCCCAAGACAGTTGTTTTAAAGTCTTTGCCTAGTAGTGTTGCCTTTGAGTCTTTTTTCAGGAGCAGTTTCTGTTGGTTTAATTTTTCTCCTTTGAATGTGCCATATTTTCTTGGTTTTTTTTTGTATGCCTTGTGATTTTTTGCTGAAAACTGGACACTTCAGTCTAATAATATGATAACTCAGGAAATCAGATTCTCTCCCTTCCCTAGGGTTTTCTGGAGGTTTTTTGTATGTATGTATGTATGTATGTATGTATATGTATTATTGGAAGCTCTCTCTGTAACAAGGGTCATCATGAGGCATAAACTTAGGGTCTTCTCAGATCTTTTCTGAGCCTGTGACTTTCCTTGGGCATGTGTGGTCACTTTCTAATTTTTCTCGTATATACAATTGTTTTTGAGTATCCTAATCTTTAATGTCCGGCTCTCAAAAAGGAAAAAGGGAAAAAATGACTGGGGGGTGTGGTGGGGGGAGGAACTAGCCCATTAAATTCCCTAGAAGTCACTTCAGCCAGTGAGAACAGGAGAGCTTGCAACAGTGGGTCACTGGCCTCTTTGTCTGCACCTCTGTGATCAGAAGAAGGAACCAGTGATCAGAACACCAATCCCTAATATTTGGAGGACAGGGTGCTCCCCCCACCACTCTGCTCCCACAGTTGCCTGCAGGTGCCTGTCATGGGGCTGAGGGTGGGGGATAAATAACTGCTACTGTGTGAAGAGTTGAAATTGACAAAAGTTAACTGAAGTATGCAGTCCAAGCCTTTCCCCTGGAAGTTGCAATTCCTTCAGTAGATTCCAGAGTTCCTAATAAGTACATCAGACAGATTCTGCTAGTGCAATAGTTGTCTAGGTGGGGAAACAGATTACTGGTACTTCCTAGTCTGCCATCTTTCCAGAATTCTTCCACCTTTCTTATTTTTAGTCCTTATTATGTGACCCTTTTCTTTCCCTCTAACATTTTTAAGGTCTTCATTTTGCCTCTGGTGTTCTGAAATTATTATGTACTTAAGTGTGGCACCTAGGCTTTTTTTTCCTCCATTTTTATGACTGACACTTGGTCAGCTATCTTTTTGATCTAGAAACTCATATTCATCAGTTCTGAGAAATTTTTATGTATGATATTTATCTTAGTTTAGATTTGCCCAGAATAAGGCTCTAAGACAAGGATTCAAGAGCAAGTGTTTTATTTTGGAGATGATTCCAGAAAACTCTGATAGAGAATCAGGCAGGTGAGATAGGGATGGGAAGGCAGTCCACATAGAGTTGGTTCTCAAGCAACTTACCATTGTGGATAACTGTAGTTTAATTCCACAGGGTCTGGTAGCCAGTGTGTATAACTCAGAGTTATTCTGCCTGAAGAGTGAAAGAATTGGGGTACTATTAGGCTAACTCCTGAGAGTCATTGATGAAAGGTTGATTCTAGGGGTATTAAATTCCTAGCACTTCTGGACTGTTATGCAGACAGCAAAGCAGGCTCCAGTGGCCAAGGACAACCCTTAGACAATGCGAATTCTGGTTATGGTATGCATTAAAATGGTAAGGATGAGGAGTCAGGGACAGGACACTAATAGTGAATTTTTTTGATGCTTTCTCCCCATCATCCTCTCAATTTTTCTCTTCTCTCCTTTTTGAACTCCTATTGGTTTGATATGAACCTCCAGCATTGAGCCTCTAAGAAACAACAAAAAAAACTTTGCTTCTTGATTTTATCTTCCTACAGTTTCTACTAAAAACGCTTTTTTAAAAAAAATTTGGCTATCATTTAATTTCCAAGAGCTCTGTCTTATTCTCCATTTATTGTATCAATTACCTTATGATGCATTTTAAAAATGGTAAAACTTAGTGGCTTAAGACAACAAAGAAGCCCAATTTATCTATATTTCATTTTATTGCTTTTGTTGTCATATCTAAGAAACCGTTGCCAAATCCAAGGTTCGATCTTTATGTTTTTTCTAAGAGTTTTATAGTTTTAGGCTTTTCATTTAGATCTTTGATCCATTTTAAGTTAATTTTTGTATATTGTATAAGGTAGGGGTCCAACTTTATTCATTTGCATGTCGATATCCAGTTATCCCAGCACCATTTGTTGAAACAATTCTTTCCCCCACTGAATTGTTGTGACACCTGAGTAAGAAAAACTTATTCCTCCTCCTGTGTATCTCCTTTACTCTCACATTACTAATCACACTCACAACACTTCTGACACCAGATGTGGTACAGTTTTCCCCACACTAAGCTATTTTGGCTAACATCAGCTGGGCGTCCTACAATTTAACTCAATTCTGACACTATCTACCTGGAGATAGCATCAGATCCCACAGATTAAAGTCCCATAGAGCTACCCCCCACCCCCTTCAGATGCCAATCCCAAGTCCAGGTTTTTACCTGTGCTTCTGATCAATCAGCTATAAATTGGAGGTTCTCATGATCCCCTCCTCAGGTTCAATTAATTTGCTACATCTCACAGAACTCAGGAAAACAGTTTACTTGCTGATTACTGGTTTATAATAAAAGGATATGATAAAGAATACAGGCGAATATCCAGATAGAATAGATGCATAAGGCAGGGTATGTGGGAAGGGGCACAGAGTTTCCATGCCCTCTCCAGGTACACACTCTCCCAGCACCTCCATGTGTTCATCAACCCAGAAGTTCTCCAATCCCTGTACTTTTCAGATTCTTATGGAAGCTTCATCATGTAAATATGATCAGTCGTTATCTTCATTTTCAGCCCCTCTCCCCTCTCTGAAGAGTGGGAGGTAAGGCTGAAAATTCTAAGCTTCTCATTCAGTCTTTCTGGTGACCAACCTCCATTTAGGATCTCACCAAGAATCACTTCATTAGAACAGAAGACACTGCTGTCACCCAGAAAATTCCAAGAGATTTAGAAACACTGTATCAGGAACCAGGGTCAAAGACCCACTGTTGGAACAAAGATGCTCCTAGTCCTCTTATCACTTGGGAAAGTTCAAGGATTTTAGGATCTCTGTGCCAGGAACTGGAGGCAGAGACCAATATATATACACATTTTTTTTCCTATGACCTCACAGCACCGTTGTAAAAAAAAAAATCAATTGACAGTAAACATGGATTGTTACTTCTATTTAATTGATCTATATGTCTATCCTTATGTCAGTACCACACTGTTTTAATTACTGGTTGATTTATGGTAAGTTTTGAAATCAGGAAGCATGAGTTCTCATACTTTGTTCTTTTTCAAGATTATTTAGACTATTCTAGATACTTCCAGTTTCCATATAAATTTTAGTGTCAGCTTGTCAATATTGACAAAGAAACAAGCTATAGGGATTGCATTGAATCTGTAGATCAATTTGGGAAGTATTGTCATCTTAACAATATTAAGTCTTCTGGTCCATGAACATGTTTGTCTTTCCATGTATGTAAGTCTTTTAAAATTTCTTTCAACAATGTCTTGTAGTTTTCAGAGTATATGTTTTACACTTGCTAAATTTGTTTCTGAATGTTTTCTCCTCTTTGATACTGTAGTAATTGGAATGGCTTCATTTTCATTCAGATTATTCATTGTATTCCTAGTGTTTTAAAGTCCATATCCCTCTTGACCATCATTAAATTATTTTTTTGCATTTTAGAGAGGCCTCTATCAGAGTTTTGCACATTGTAGATGGCTGATGTATCAAGGTGGCTAATATTACCAATCTTACCTTTTTACCTTTTTTACCCTTCATGTTCCTTTTGATGACTCATCACTCAGATAATCAAAAGGAAAGGAGGGAAGTATTTTACACTGTAACATTTTAGGTATAGTCATAAGGTTTTAGAAGGAAAAGGTGTGTGTAGGCGAAATTCCCTACAAGACAACTTTCATTCCTTGCTGTTTTCGTCATATGGGTCTTCTTGCTATTCCTCAAACATGCCAAGCAAATTTCTCCCTTGGGGCTTTGGATACAGTCTTCTTTGCTTGGAATGCTCTCCCTGCACTTTATTCAGGTCTTTGACAAATGTCACTTCCTCAGAAAAGCCCTGCCCTCTACCAATCAAACTAAAATAAGGCCTCCAGTACTCTCTATCCTCTAACTCTGTTTTTATTATCTTAGTACTTATCACTTTCTGACACCATATAATACACTCCTTTACTATATACTCCACTTCTCCCCACTAGACTACAAGATGTATAAGAGGAAATTCTTTGTTCACCACGGTAAACCCAGTGCTTGGCTCATAATAGGTGCTAAGTAACTATTTTGTTGCATGTTCACATATATCAGGTGTTAAATAAATTAATTCATTCAAAGATCTATTGTCTACAAAGAATAGACCAAATAGATTGACACTTATTCAGCAGGCCAATGAATCCCAGTCAGTATGTGGGACCTAGTGTGTGTATATGCAGAGGGTGTATGTGTGTGTGTGTGTGTGTGTGTGTGGTGGATGTAATTCAAGGGAAGTTTGTGTAGCTAAGTAGTAAAGCACTTGGACTCCAGAGCACGAGCTGGGTTTGAAATCTTACTACTGGTTGCAGCTGTACAGCCTTTGACAGATTGCTTAATCACTCTAAGGCTCAATTCATCATCTGTAAAGTGGAGATTGCAATTGTATCTGCTTCATAGGGTTCCTGATGTAAAGATTAAAGAACATAAAACATGGAAAGCACTTGGAAGCATCCAGCTCATAGTACAGGTTGGTAACTGTTAGCTATTACCATTTCTCTGGGGACTAAGCAATTTCCAACTATTTCTGAATACTGTCTCCTAAATATGTGTAATATGTATTTTCAAATGTATTAATATTGCTGTAGATGAAAAAAGATAAATTCATATATAACATGATTCACAATAACTTTCTGTCCTTGTGTTTTAGACAGGAGTTACTAAAAGTACAACCAAATGCTTGTGGCTGAGGGTGTCCATGATAATTTCTAACCTAAAGAAATAATCCTCATACTAGCCTGTAATTTCCATGGGGGCAAATATTTGCCTATCTTATATTTCTATCTCTGCCTTATATTTGCATCTCTATCACCTGGCACATATAATACGTAGTTAATAAATAGTCATCTGTTTATTGTTTGCAAATGAATAAATGAGTAAATGTTATCATTGTTGGGAAACATCATTTGCATCATCAGTGGCTTGATTGTGGGAATGTTAGCAAAAAAGAGTCTGCAGCATTTCAGAAACTAGATTTTAAGGTCTCACCCTTTTAGGGACCCTAAATGATCCAGGAAGCACTTCGTGGGTTAGAGGTGCTAGCTGGTACCAGAGGAAATTAGGAGCCTCTCCTAAGGGTAATAACATACAAATCACATGGCAAACTCTGTGTGATTGGTCATACAAGGGAGTACTTGCCAGCTTAAGAGTGTTTTGCAGGTCATGATCCCCATGGTCATGCTCAAATGTGTAGCTAGGCACACCCAGACACATGCATACAGGTCTCCACCAGTCCTACACTTCACAAGAAGAGGATATAAATTAATCTTATTGTCACTCGTTTAGTGGAACTATTTACATGAACCATTAGCAATCTGCTTATCAGGCAAAAAGTTCATTTCTGATGGCAGTATTTGCACTCTGATTTATAAATGTTGGTAGCTGAGAGTTTTGTATTTGAGTTTGCTTCAGGCTTCACATACCTGCGTAAATGAGCCTTTTACTATTATGAGGGAAAAGAATTGGATTTTCTTTGTAGATGGAGTTGGCAGGTTTTACAAGTGAAGCATTTCCTATTAAGTCACAAGAAGGAATCACTCATCAATAATTAGAGAAAGGAAAAGGGAATGGTGAGCTGCATAGTAGGTCATGCTCAACCTACTAACATTTAGCTTCCCACATAGAAATCTTCAGCTTCCGGACGCCACTCCTAATCTAAGTGTGTGAGCTGGCAGGTGAGGCAGGATGGGTGATTTGGCTCCCTTCACCCTCTCAGTTGGGAAACCAGCTCACAGTGTATGCCATTTTGTAGTGACTTGGTCTGGGGAGATAACATATATTTATAATGAGAAGATAATTACACTAACCTTGTTTAGCATATCATACCCCAAGCTTAGAAACCCCAAGAAAAGCATGTTCACCCACTGCCAGAAAAAGGGTCAGGCCCCTCTGCCTGTGTGGCCTGTTCCAGGACCTGAGCTTGGCTTGTGTCTGTCTGTGAGAGGGGATGAGTCTAGATTGGCTGACATCTCTAATTTCCTTCCCTTTTTTCACTGCAGTTATATCAAAGTGAGAATTTCGAGAAACTTGAGGAGCTTGTCGGAAAACACCCATGTGCCTTTCCTATCTGGGTTGGGCCCTTTCAGGCATTTTTGTGTATCTACGACCCGGACTATGCAAAGACATTTCTGAGCAGAACAGGTAAGAAAAGGGATGAATCTCAGGAACCTCATCCTCCTAGGAGTGATATGCACAACGCACAGGCAGGATTCTAGACCAGGGGTCGGCAAATTGCGGCTCACGAGCCACATGCGGCTCTTTGGGTAGGTTCTGTCTCAAAAGTTTGCCGACCCCTGGAAGAGCGAATCCTGTTCCTCACAATAATTTAAAAATTATTCAAGAGCCATAAATATATTTTTACATAATCACCATGATGTGAATAATATCCTTTAAAAATTTTTATAAATGAAACTATGATAGTTTTATTTTCATTTTCAATTTTACTTCAGAACCACATGTATGTACCCAAAGAGCCGCATGTAGCTCTCAAGCCTCAGTTTGCTGACTCCTGGCAGCTCTTCCGTCTCAAAAGTTTGCCGAACCCTGTTCTAAAAGAATTTTGAAGCAAAGATTAGTATTGGGCCTCTAAGAAATACTGGAGAAAGTGTGGAGAGATTTCCCACCAGTCCTGAAGGGGGTTCCCGTGTCCCCCAGTCCCTTGTCTAATTCAGACTCCCATGGGCCCTTTTAGGTCACTGTATTTTAAAGCCCAGCTGGCACTATCAGATCACCAGGAGTTTTCTTTTCCTCTTTTGGTTTTGTGACTTCAGTGTCAGCAACACCCCCCATTCCAGCCCATTTCTTGAGCAAAAGTCTTCAGGGACATTCAGAAGTAGCTCTGCCTGTGCTAGTTCAGTATATAAACCTGAATTCTAGATTATTACTTTACCCAGTCTAACCTCTTCATTGTGGTCCAAATTTTGTTTTTGTTTTCTGCAGCTTTCTCAACTGTGTTCCTGTTGGGGGCATGACTCCCCCTCCAATTCTTTTTCAAGGCTTCCATGGTAAATTATCTCATAGCACAAAATTGAAATGTCCAGTTTTTGCTCCATCAGCTTTGTAAACTAAGGCCTGATATTCTGATGTTTCTTCCCTGTGCCATTGTCTCTATTACTCTTAGCAAAACCTAAGAAAAGATGACAGCCTTTCCTGAATTTCCCATTTCCCCAGTTCTCTCTGATTGGTCTCATGTTCACTTCTTTAAAGGACAAGAGCTGTAAAACACCTCCACATTAGAGTTCACAAGAACCCCAAGAGGCATTTGTACCTCGCTTTCTAGTATTTTCCCAGCCCCTGATCTAATAGTTAATTTGCTTTCTGAAAAAGGATATGATATGTTGTCCCAACTTCCATTCTGGAAACTTTGCAACCTGAAGGCAACCACGGTTTCTGTTGGAGGAAGTGTAAATAAGGAAAGAACCTGGGTTTGTGGACCTGTCCACCTGGTGGGTTTACCCTACCCCACCACCACACCTGCCGAGGGCTGCAAGGAGTTAGCCTTGGGCTCTCTTTTGCTGATTATTTGTGGTTAAAGCAGGCAAATGAAGAGAATCCTCACCAACTTTGAGTGATAATTTCCTCTAATGCTGTCTTTTGTTTCCTCTGCTTGACTCTGCAGATCCCAAATCCAGCTATTTGTACAGGTTCTTGGTTCCACATCTTGGTATGTATATGCAAATGAGAGGGGTAATCCACTGTCTCACTAGAAGTCTCCTTTATATCGTAGAGCATTCCAAAGAAACTCAAATAGGAATTCAAAAGCATTAAGAGTATGGTAGATCTACAATGCGAGTTTCTAACAGATTAGGTCAAGAGGTAGTGCTAAGGTCAACACAGCACAACTTTGTAGGAAACCTCCTTGTCCATTTCTCTCCCCGAAGTCTCATTCTCAAGGAAGCATATGTATAAATTCGCCCCATCTCTGTCTTTAAAATTGTAGCCTCACAATCCACAGTCTTTATTTTATCCTTTCTCCTCTCTTATTTTATTGGATACTTCCCTTTTTTTTGGAGTTCCTCTGTTTCCATATGCAAAGCAGTAAAATTGTGCTTCGAAGTACACTTTGGAAATAGTCCTTGAGTAGATAAATTAATCCTTTTAGTCATATAATTGGTATTTATGTTAGACAAGGAAGGAAATAAATGAAAAAGTACAGGTTTTTGATTCAGAGCTACATGGATTTGAATCCTGTCCCCCATTGATTTGCTGAGTGCAGTCATGGGGAAGTCAATCTCTCTAAGCCTCTGCTTCCTCATCTTTGAAAATCTCTGGGTTGTTGTGAAGATTAAATGAAATACATATTTTCTGCTCTCAGTGCAATGGCTAGCATTGTTCCAGTGCTAGACTGTGCATTGCAAGCCTGGCATGTTGTAAGCCCTCAGTGAATGATGGCAGTTATATATTAATACACTTTAAGGTTCTTTCAAAGCCAAATCTTTAATGACCTCCCTGGTACAGAAAATTGTGAGGCACTAGCCATGATGAGTGTTTCCACTTTGTATCATTATAGGTATGAAGCAGAGACTAGGACTCAAGGAGGGGATATCTAGGGAGAGAGTGTACACTCTTGTCTAGTTCCTTGTGAATTTTGTGTTCACAGTATAGTTTATGGATTGGTTTGGAGTAAGAGAAAATGAATACTGATTTTGTTTCTACTGTGAGCTAGAGATTAGGCTAAGTGCCTTATGTACACTTTCATTTAATCTGCACAACACATGAAGTAGATATTATCACACTTCATCATTGAGAAAACCAAGCCTCAGGAAAGTTAAGTGATTCACTCAATTATTATACAGGTAGTAATTGATGATTTCAAGATTAGCACTCTCATCAGGCTTCAAAATGTGGGTTCCTTCTCACAATGCTAAATGCATCCATCCCAGATGTGAACATCAAAACTCACGTCAATGTTAATACATGAGCACTACTTTGGCATTCCACTGTGTCATGGTGACCTGTGCTTCACAGTCCATGGTGTCTGTGTTCCTCACCTCTCCTTCCTCAACTCATCTAATAAAATGTCATGAGGTTTTGTACCTTTTATTTCTCAAGGAGAAGGACTACTGACTCTGAATGGACCCAAGTGGTTCCAGCACCGACGCCTAATAACTCCTGTATTTCATTTTAACATCTTGAAATCATACTTCAAGGTGATAGTTCATTCTATGAACATAATGCTGGTAAGTGAAAGAACAAAAGTGTTCTGGTATGTTGCAAAACTCTTCCAGCAGGGAGTGAATTACACATATGAGTATGTTTAGTGGGTAGTGAAAGTCAAAGGGGGATGATTTCTAGAAATTACCCACCGAGCAATAGGTGTTTATGTAAGCCTTTGCTATGGTTCTTTGGGTATTAAAAGGGATAAAGATATGGTTGTCTGTCTTAGATGTGTTTTGAGATCCTATGGTAGTAAACCAAGTACCAAGTAATACATTCAAATGGTAAGTGTTGTAGGTGACAAATAAGGAAATCTGGAGCAGCTATAATAGCTTCGGATTCTGAGGAGACTCAGATTGACCATGAAATATGAACTGGACTTGAATATGTCGATACCATGGATAAGGGAATCTAGGAGACAGAGTTAACACAAGCAAAGGTTGGGAGATTGGAATGGAATTGCCTGATGGCCATAAATGACCTAGCAAATGTCTACATTAAAGTCATAGATGTGAGTTTCCTCCTGTAGGTAGCAGAGGACATTATGAGCTGACCTGCACCTTTCCAAAGAGCAGGAGGAGGTTGTAGAGGAAATGTTCCTCTGAGCAGTCCCGGATTTATAAATGAGTTTTACTCCAAAGCTCCACTTGAACATGATATATTTTTAATTTTTACATTGTACTTATTTTAAGATCAGACCAGTAATTCACTAATATAGTTTCATTATAAACACTTCTAACACCACAAACAAAGCCAAAGTTTTCCTCCACCTTCATCTGCAAGCCCATCCCTTTTTCCAAGAGAGAACCACTGTTACCAGTTGATTGGCTGAGTTCTCAGCAAGCTCACAGAAGCAGATTTAACCTGAAGTCTGCTGGGAATGTGGTCAAGTACCCATGTGAGTTCTCGAGGCAGAGGGCTGGAGGTACAGTTAGAGTGAGAGGGGGCATGCTCTTCCAATTCTGGTGCTCTACAGCTTCATGCACAATTGCGTATCACCCAGTGGTGGTATTTGAGTTTATCCCCATTGCGATAAACCGTTTCTATCTCCCTCACTTCTAGTCCCACGTTTCCCTGAGATTCCCCTCACAGCTCCTCCCACTGCTGAATTGTGCCCAAGTGCCTCCAGTTTTGAGCCTCCCCTTTGCTCTCATTTCTTCTAAACTCACTTTTTGTGTTCAGTAAAACTCAACAGAGTTCAGGATAAAAGCAATTGACTAAACAATTGACACAGGTAAAAGGCTTTTAAAAAGATCTCTTTGCCTTTTTCCCATCGCCTCCAGGTTCTTAGCGCCTAGCTGTGGCCCAGGTGTACAACAAATGTTGGTTGATCTGAGCTTACACACAGATTTATTTGTATTTTTACACGATAATGCTTATTGTGATGAATACATTTTCAACAGGGTACTACTCTGTGGCAGTTTAAGCCACAAAACAGTTCAGGTAGTGTGAGTATCTCATCTTGGAGGAAAGTAAAGTGGACATAGGCAGCGTGTGGATGGGAGCCACATCCCTGTAGGCTCCGTCCTGTCCCCTACTTCTGAATCAAAAATGTCTTTTTAAAATTCCAAGTTTACTTTAAGTGTGATTATGGTGATTGAGAGTAGTGATGGGGTTAGGGTGTCTAACAGTTTGGGGACTGAAGATGGAGGAAGCCCTGGGGAGACCCCTTGTAAGTGTGAGTATCAGAGATTGTCTGTTTTACTGGAACTCTGGTCTGATTTAGAGCAGAGTTATGGTAATAATTGAAAGGCCAAAGACACTTAATTCAGTCATTTACTGGATACTTGGTTTGCTCCATGCTGTTCCTCACCCAGCAGAATGCATTTCCCCCCTTTTCTCAGGCCAAGTAAACACTTGGCTTATTTACTTGTATGACTTTTGGCTCCTTCTAGGTCTGGGTTGTCTCCCTTATATAATTAATGGCAGGGTCTGGGAGGAGATTTGAGATAAAGGCACTTTGATGATGGTAATGCTGTTGATCTTGACCTCATGTGCCAGGATAAGTGGGAGAGGATTTGCAGCACTCAGGACACAGTTGTGGAAGTTTCTGAACACGTCAGGTTGATGTCCCTGGACACCCTTATGAAGTGTACTTTCAGCCGGGAGACCAATTGCCAGATAAACAGGTCAGTGACAGGAGGGCAAAAAGATATTTGTTTGCCATTGTCTAAGCCATTTATTGACATAGCCCCACTTTCTCTCTAGAACCCATGACTGTTATATAACAGCGATGTCTGAAGCCTCCAAAATCATCTTTAACCGCATGCCCAATTTCTTACTTCACCATGACATAATTTTCAAATTCAGCCCTGGGGGCCGCCGCTTACCGGAATTAAGCAAAACTCTGCATCAGTACACAGGTATTTCTTGGGTTTGAGCTGCCCAAGTGCATCACGGTTTGTGTCCATTTAGAGCAGCGGTTCTCAACCTTCCTAATGCCGCGACCCCTTAATACAGTTCCTCATGTTGTGGTGACCCCCAACCATACAATTATTTTCGTTGCTGCTCTATAACTGTAATTTTGCTACTGTTATAAATCGTAATGTAAATATCTCTTTGTTTTTCGATGGTCTTAGGTGACCCCTGTGAAAGGGTTGTTCGACCCCCAAAGGGGTCGCGACCCACAGGTTGAGAACCGCTGGTGTAGAGGACTAGGCCTCAGTGTGAAATGAGCAAGAATTCTTGTTCTTAATGGAGCCTTTATATGCACACTGCTCAAATGAAATACAAGTCCTTGTGAAGAATTTGCTACATCCATAGTATAATAGTAGTCTTATGAGAAGTTTTCTATATGTTATACAGTTTTTATTATATACAATTTTTGCTAATACACATATAACATAAGTGGGCATTTAATATTTCAAAGTATACATGCCATATGGCTTTTCGTGCCATGATTACAGTAATAATGACAAGCTAAAAATATTCGTGCAACATAGGAATGAATAAGGGAACAGAGCAAACATGGACAGACACTCAAAAAAAGGGGGAAATAGGGAGTTGTCCAACGGGTATAAAATTTTAATTATGGAATTAAGTTCTAGAGATCTGCTGTACAACATGGTGCCTATAGTTAACAATGCTGTATTGTGCACTCGAAAATTTGTTAAGTGGGTAAATCTCAGGCTAAGTGTTCTTATCAGAATAAAAAAATAAAGTAAGAGAAGCTTGGTTAAAAAATAAATAGTTTTAGCAAAACAGAGACATAAACATTGAAACAGATTAAGTTTTCTAAGCAATTCAACATTACTTTTCATGAACACCATAGTAGAGAATATTTATCAAGTACTTAATTACTTATTCCTCAGCTCCAGTACTTACTAGCAGTGTGACTTTGGGCAACTTACTTACTGCTTTGTGTCAGTTTCATCTGGAAAATGGGAATAAAAAAGAAATAGGTTTGTGGTGATGATTAAATATGTTAATATCTGTAAAGCACTTTGGACAGTTCCTGAAAGTGAATAAATGTTAAATATAATTTTTAAAATATATTTGCCCCCAGGATATTTGCAAGACACACGTACACATACACACTCACACACAAATATACACAGATAAACATAGATATTATAAGGAGGACACTCAGATAAGCAGGTTAGAAACAATTTAAGACACCAATGGGCATTATACATAGCAGTTGTTCCCAAACCTGTTCTGATCATGGCCCACACAAAAAAATGTTAATATGTGTGTGGCTCATTGGAGTAAATAGGAGGGGATTTTGCAGCATCTACCTAGGACTTGGTGAAAAAGTTCTTCACATTTTCTAAGTCCTTTACCTCAACATTACATAATTATGATGAACTGTCTTTTGCAAATATTTTCTCCCAATATGTGGCTTGTCTTTTCATTCTCTTATGAAAACTCCTAAGCAGAAGTTTTTAATTCTAATGAAGTCCAGCTTATTGATTTTTTTTCTCTCATGGATCATGCTTTTGGTGTTATATCTAAAAAGTCACTGCCATATTATGCTAAGTGAAATAAGTCAGACAAAAAAACTCGAGAACCATATGATTTCACTGATATGTGAGATATAAAACTGAAAACAACATAGGAACAAAACAAACAAATAAAGAAACAAAAACTCATAGACACAGACAATAGTTTAGTGGTTATCAGAGGGTAAGGGAGGAAGGGGATAGTAGATGAGGGTAATATATGGTGATCAAATATATGCTGAAGGAGAACTGACTCTGGGTGGTAAACACACAATGTGATATATAGATGATATATTACAGAATTGTACACCTGAAACCTATGTAACTTTACTAACAATTGTCACCCCAATACACTTCCATTAAAAAAAAAAAGCTAATAGCAAGCTGGGAGGGTTATACCTAGTAATAGTAATAATTACATTAAATCTAAATGGCCTAAACACTCCAATTGAATAGCAAAGATTTTTCAGATTGGATAAAAAGCAAGACTCAACCAAAAAAAATGTTTTAATAAATAAATAAAATAAAATTTCACTGGCAAACCCAAGGCCCCACATTTTCTTCTATGTGTTTCTAAGAGTTTTATAGTTTTACAGTTAGGCCTATGATTCATTTTACGTTATTATTTGTGAAAGGTGTAAGATCTCTGTCTAGCTTCATCTTTTTTTGCAGATAAATCTCCAGTTGTTGTGGCACCATTTGTTGAAAACGCTATCCTTTCTCCATCGAATTGCTTTTACTCATTTGTCAGATATCTGTTGACTGTATTTGTATGGGCCTGTTTTGGGGCTTTTTATTCTGTTCCACTGATCTATTTGTCTCTTTTTTCACTACTACCAGACTGTCTTCATTACTGTCCTTTTAGAATAAATCTTGAATTTGGGTAGTGTCAGTCCTCTGACTCTTTTGTTCTTTAATGTTATATTGGCAATTCTGGGTCTTTTGCCTTTCTTTATAAATTTTATAATCAGCTTGTTAATATCCACAAAAGAAATTGTTGGGGTTTTTTATTATGATTGTGTTGAATCTATAGATCGAGTTAGGAAGAACACCATATTTATTCTTCCTGTTCATGTACATGGAATATCTCTCAATTTATTTAGATCATTTTTTATTTCTTTTATCAGAATTTTATAGTTTTCTTCATATAGGTCTTGTATATATTTTGTTAGATTTATACTTAAGTACTTCTTGCTTGGTGCTAATATAATGGCATTGTGTTTTAAATTTCAATTATTTATTGATAGGATATGAGAAAGCAATTTACTTTTGTGTATTAACTTTGTATTCTGCAACCTTGCTTAATTGCTTATTTGTCCCAGGAGGTTTCTGTTTATTCTTTGGGATATTTTACAAGACAATGATGGCATTTATGAACAAAGACAGTTTTATTTCTTCCTTCCCAATCTATATCTTTTATTTCCTTTTCTTGTCTTCTTGCATTAGCTAGGACTTCCAGTACGAAGTTGAATAGGAGTGATGAGAGGGGACATCCTTGCCTTGTATCTGATCTCAGTGAAAAAGCGTCTAGTTTCTCACTGTTAGATATGATGTAAGCTGTAGGGTTTTTGTAGATTTTATTTATTAAGTTGGGGAAGTTTCTTCTCTATTCCTAGTTTGCTGAGAGGTTGTTTGTTTAAGTCATAAATGAGTGTTGCATTTTGTCACCTTTTTTTCTACATCTTTTGATATGATCATATGATTTTTTTCTTTTTTAGCTTTTTGATGGGGTAGATTACATTAATTGATTTTTTAATGTTAAACCAAACTTGGATACCTGAAATAAATTTCACGTTGTCATGGTTGTGTAATTTCTTTTATGCATTGTCGGATTCAATTTTCTAATATATTGTTGAGGATTTCTGCATCTATGTTCATGAGAGATATTGGTTTGTAGTTTTCTTGTAATGTCTTTGTCTAGTTTTGGTGTTGGGATAATGGCTGGCCTCATAAAATGAGCTAGGAAATAAGTATTCCCTCTACTTCTATTTTCAGAAAGAGATTATAGAGAATTCATATAATTTCTTCCTAAAATGTTTGGTAGAATTCACCAGTGAAATTATCTAGGCCTCATCCTTTCTATTTTGGAAGGTTATTAATTATTGATTTAATTTCTTTAATAGATATAGGTCTATTCAGATTATCTCTATCTTGTTGAGCTTGGGTAGAATGTGTCTTTCAAGAAATTAGTCCGTTTAATCTAGGTTATCAAATTTGTGGGCATAAGGTGGCTCATAATATTCCTTTAGTATATTTTTATTGTACATAAGATCAGTGACAGCCTATTTTCATTTCTCTTATTTTAAATTTGTGTCTCCTCTCTTTTATTTTTAGTTAACCTGGCTAGAGACTTATCAATTTTATTGATCTTTTTAAAGAACCAACTTTTGATTTCATTGATTTTACTCTTGATTTTCTATTTTCAATTCCATTGCTATCTGCTCTAATTTTTATTATTTCTTTTCTTCTACTTACTTTGGATTTGTTCTTTTTCTGGTAGCCTAAGATAAAGCTTAGTTTGTTTATTTTAGAGCTTTCTTTTTTCTAATATATGCATTCAATGCTATAAATTTTGCTCTAAACATTGCTTTCACTGCATCCTACAATTTTGATTAGTTGTATTTTATTTTCACTTAGTTCAAAATATTTTTTCAAATGTTCTTGAGACCTTTTCCTTGGCTCCTGTATTAGAAATGTGTGGTTTACTCTCCCAGTGTTTTGGAGTTTTCCAATTATCTTTCTGTTACTTATTTCTATTCCATTTTTGCCTGAGATTATACTTTGTATGATTTCTGTTCTTTTAAATTTTAGGTGTATATTTTATGGCCCAGAATGGCATCTGTCTTGGTGAATGTTCTGTGTGAACTTGAGAAGGCATTGTACTCTGCTGTTGTTGGATGAGGTATTCTATACATGTCAAATAGATCTAGTTGATTGATATTGTTCAGTGCAACTATGTCCTTGCTGGTTTTCTGCCTGCTGGATTTGTCCATTACTAAAAGAGGTGTGCTGAAGTCTCCAACTATAATAGTAGAGTCATGTATTTTTTCTTGTAGTCCTATTAATTTTTGCCTCATGTATTTTGACATTCTGTTGTGGGTGGCATTCACATTAAAAATTGTTGTCTTCTTGGATACTTGACCTGTTTATCATTATATAATGCCATTCTTTATCCCTAAGTTTCTCTTGCTCTGAAATCTGTTCAGTCTGAAATTAATAATAGCTACTTCAACTTGCTTGTGGTTAATTATCTTTCTCTATTGTTTTAATTTATAAAAAGTAAAGTAATATTGGCATACAATATTATATTGGTTTCAGGTGTACAGCATAGTGATTCACATCTATATACCTTATGAAGTGATCACAAAAATTCTGGTAACTTTCTATCATTACACAGAGTTATTATAGTTATTGACTATATT